GAGCACTGTGAATTGTGTAAGACTGTTGAATCACAGACCTGTACCTCTGAAACAAATAATACATTATACGTTAAAAAAAAAGAAGAAGAAGAAGAAGATAGTAGGAAGGGAAAAAATGAAGCGGGGGAAATCGGAGGGGGAGATGAACCATGAGACACTATTATAGACTCTGAGAAACAAACTAAGGGTTCTAGAGGGGAGGGGGTGGGTTAGCCTGGTGATGGGTATCAAAGAGGGCACGTTCTGCATGGAGCACTGGGTGTTATATGCAAACAATGAATCATGGAACACTACATCAAAAAAAAAACTGCAAAACCATTATTACAAATAAAATGAACATTTCCTTAGGAAAAAAAAAAAGAAGAAGATAGTAGGAAGGGAAAAATGAAGGGGGGGAAATTGGAGGGGGAGACAACCATGAGAGACTTTGGACTGTTAGAAACAAGCTGAGGGTTTTGGGGGGGTGAGGGGATGGGTTAGACCGGTGATGGGTAGTAAGGAGGGCACGTACTGCATGGAGCACTGGGTGTCATACACAAACAATGAATCATAGAACACTACAGCAAAAAGTAATGATGTAATGTATGATGACTAACATAACATAATAAAATAAAATCAAAAAACAAAAAGCAAAGGCTAGAAGATGGAGCAGTCCTGTGAGTGTCATATTAGCAAAGCTAAGGAGTCTGGGTTTCTGAGCGGTTTCAGAGACAATGAGAAGCCATCAAAAGGAGAAAGAAGTGGGACAGGAAGCAGGTGAACACATTTGTGCTTGGGTATGGAGAACAAAGGCACAGAAGTGAAAGCTTCTGGGAAACCATAATCCCATAGAATGACAAGGGACTGTCACTGTTATGAAAAGAAGGGCTATCTGTGTGGGCTAAGTGAGCAGGTGGGGACTAGCAAGAGTCATTCATAACCTCAAAGTCTTCTGTATTGAAGACAAAACACTCAAATCCCTATGAGATGCCAATTAGATGCCCAACTACTTCTGAGCAATATGTCTCAGCTTTGGGGGGGGGTGGAAAAAATTAGCAAAAGAATGAACACCCAAAAAAGGACTTTTTTTTCCCAAACCGATGAAACTATTCAGCTCCAAGATCAAGTCCAGAACATTGGAGTTACCTCTGTTCTAAGAGGAAAACAGAACCTTCTCCACTTGTGTAGATTTGGGGACTCACAGTTCACTCAAACTCTAGCTTAAAGATAGTTTGCTTTGCCTTTGCCTGGTGTACCTCCTTCCAGGCGACCTCCTAGACTTGCAAACTGACTGGAGAAAGGGGCTTCTGTGGTTAAGAGAATGTTCCAGAGACCTGATAATCTCTACAGATTTTACAGTAAAATTTGGAACTACTGGAACATTCAAATACAACCAGCAGGGACACCTAGGTGGCTCAGTCGGTTAAGTGTCTGCCTTTGGCTCAGGTCATGATCCCAGGGTCCTGGGATCGAGTCCCACATCGGGCTCCCTGCTCTGTGGGGAGCCTACTTCTCCCTCTGCCTCTCTCTCTCTCTCTCTCTCTCTGACTCTCATGAATAAATAAAACATTTTTAAAAATTTTAAAAATAAAATAAAAACAAAAAAACAAATACAACCAGCATGCAAGACCTACAGTTTGTCTGACCATGACAGACTCCGTCGGCTTCCTTCCCCACCTTCAGTTCAGCATACAAATATAAGGTCACAGTCATCTGAACTTTGGGACTATTCGAATTCTGGGGGCAATGAGGTTACCTGAGCACAGGAAGATAAATATCAAGAGATGCACAAAAGCATATGATTAGAATGATATATTTAAGGAGGTAAAAAAAAATTCTCAAAAACAGAAGAAGATATGACCAAGGTGAAGGAATACCCAGTAAAGGTGAAAATTTTCCTATGAGAAATTCCACAAGTATTATTTCTTTTAAAGTCAGTGTATTTAAAAAAAATAAAATAAAATAAAAAATAAAAGTAAAGTCAGTGTCTTTCAAAGAGGAACATATGGGAAGGGAGGAAAGAAAAAAAGGAGAGAGGGAAACAAATCATAAGAGACTCTTAAAGACAGAGAACAAACTGAGGGTTGACAGAGGGAGGTGGGTGGGGGAATATGCTAGATGGGGGACGGGCATTAAGGAGGACACTTGGGATGATCACCGGTGTTGTATGTAAGTGATGAATCACTGATTTCTACTCCAGAAACCAGTATTGCACTATACGTCCACTACCTAAAATTTAAATTAAAAAGTGTCTTTCCCTACACCAAGGCTAGAAAGATATTAATTTCTATTTTCTACTAAAAGTTTAACAATTTTGCTTTTGACTAATGGCGGTTATTTTATCTGACGTTGATTTTTATGTCACAATGTGAAATATGGATCTAATTTTTTCCCATACATTCCCCTTACTGAATACTTATTTTTCCCACTTATCTGTCATGCCACCTTAGGTCACATGTCAAAGTTCCAAATACAGGGATCTATTTTCAGACTCTCTAAGCTATTCCACTGGTCAGTTTATCTGTCTCTATACCAGTACCACATTATTTCTGTAACTTCATTATAAGGCTTGATACTTGACAGGGCAAGTCTTCAATCCTACTATTATGCTTCAAATGTGTCTTCACTATTCCAGTTTCTTTACTCTTTCATGCAAATTTTAGTATCGGTTTGTTCAACTCCATGCAAGACTCATGGGATTTTGAAGGAAACCACATTGAATTTATAGATCAATTAGATTAGAAATGACATCTTTCTGATATTGTGTCTTCCGATCCATTAACATGGAATATCCCTCTCCATTTATTTCATCTTCTTCAATGTCAAACCTTTATATTTTTCTATATGATGACCTTACACATATTCGATTAAATTTATTAAGTACTTTAAGATTTTGTTGCTTTTTTACAATAGCAATGGTGTCTTCTTTGAATTGTACTTTCTGATTGCTACACAGTTTATAAAATGCCATTGATTTCTGCAGATTACTATCTAGCCACCTTACCAAATGTTCCTATTTCTTTGTCTGAAGAGTCAATAAGGTGTTCTATGTAAACAATCATATTAACCTGCATATACTGCCAGAGGGTTTTTTTCCTCTCCTTTCCAATGCTTAGGCCTCTAATTTTTTTTTTTTTAAGAAATTTTGCCCTGCTAGGATGGCCACACAATGTTGAACAGAAAGTGTGCTAACAAATATTCTTGTCATCTTCCTGATTTTAAAGATGATGTTTCTAATGTTTCCCCATTGTTCATGTTTATTGTAGGATTTTTACAGATGACCTTAATCAAATTAAGAAAATTCCCTTGTATTTTATTGTTTTTAATCATAAGGTTACACTGAATTTTATCAAATATTTTTGTGAATCTAATGAGCTGATCATATGGATTTTTCCCTTTAATCTTTTTTTTTAAGATTTTATTTATTTGTCAGAGAGAGAGAGAGAGAGCGCTCAAGCAGGGGGAGCAGCAGGCAAAGGGAGAAGCAGGCTCCCCACTGAGCAAGGAGCCTGATGTGGGACTCAATCCCAGGACCCTGGGATCATGACCTGAGCCGAAGGCAGACACTTAATCAACTGAGCCATCCAGGTATCCCTTCCCCTTTAATCTTTTAATGTGGTAAATGATACTAATATATTTTCTAAAACTAAACCATACTTGCATTCCTGGGATAAATCCAGAAACTATAAAAAGACTTCACAAATATTCATTATAAATGCTGTCTTCAAATTGTAAAGAGACTTAAAAGCCAAGGGGAAAAATACGTAATTTGGTATTGATCAGAGAACCACTGAAGGTTTTTGACAGGGAACTAATAAGATTAAAGCTTCTAAAAGCCCAGTGGACAGATATTATTAGTTCTGTTTCACATAGATGGAATAGGGCCATTTTGGAAGCACTGGCAACATTCTCCAGTGTGACTAGTGAACAGGAAGGCTTGCTCTTCCTTGTGTTGCTCTTTGCACTTTCTGGCCTGCCAAAATGGTCCAATAATGATGTAGCCCTGTTAATACAATGTTGTGTTT